TTTTGAGGCCAACTCTATGAAGTATAGCGTAGAGCTTGTTCTAAACCAGTCTGATTATCGGACATGATAAAGTGCAAAATCTTTAATCAAACTCCGCCTCATAACTCTGCGTTTAATGGCTCAATGTTGGGGGGAGGTTGTTTTTTGTTTTATTTTGTTTTAACTTGGAATAGTTTTTCAACTATGAGAGTGGCAAGCAAACTTACTTAGGTATTGCAACATCATTTCCTACATACCAAATTTAATGAGTCTTTTGCTTTTTCTCCCCTCACCGCCCCAAATCACCTTTCATTTATAAATGGGGTATAGACCTGTGCTGGTCTGCCATCTGTGGTCCCACTCAAGTCATGGAAAGATTCGCTCAGGCTTTGAATAGAGCCATGAGAAGTAGAGTTTGCAGAGGTAGCTTTACCAGGACTGTCCTTCACATTCAAAAGGGAACGTCAGGGCTGACAGGTGAATTGGTGTTGCAAACTCAAGTTTCTGTAAACAAAATTTACTTTAATACATTTATTTAATTTATTAGTATTAGGATAGAGAATGAAGAACCTAATTAATAATTTTTCAGTTATGCTTCTCTGCTTAAACTATTAAACCAGTATGCCAAAGGTACGGGTCGAATTTTGGGGGGGGGGGGGGGGGGGGCGGAGGGAAGTTGACTTTCAGAAATCATTCGTAGCTTAAAACTTGATTTCTCCAAGGAGAACCATTTTGAGATAGATTATATACTTAATTGTTAAACCCCTTAGAAATAAACAGACAAGTCTTTAATTGGGGGAAAATTCTACTAAAATAATGAATCCTTCTTTCAAAAATATTGGTTTCAGTTAAATGTATAGAAACTCTCAAAATCTGTAGTCAGAATGAAATCTTCTTCATGTTTCTAGTCAATATGATATATTTTTAAACCTCTAGGCATCATATTTATAAGAAAATAAAATAGCTGGATCACTTTTCATAATAACATACACATCACATCTGAATACTGCCTAAATGTAGTTTAATAAAATGTGTTCAACTGTTGTGCATAAATGTCAAGTGATATCAAATTCACTTTTTGATACAATAAGGCATGAATTGGGAATGAATTAGAATAAAAAATATTTGAAGTATTATGCAAAACCATTAATTCTATATTTTACCAGTGTGATTTAAGATTACTGAAAATAGATCCTGTTAGTCATTTTCGCTGACACATGTTGTGTTGCAGTGCCAGCTTTACTGTAGAGTTGCTAGGAGTCTTTACAGAGCAGTAAGACACAGATTTGCTTTTAAGTTCTCATATAATCAGAATTAATGAAGGCTTTAATAACAGGCTTTTTATTTACTTATTCGCAGATGCAAATACATGAGCAATGTTGTGGTACTTTCAGCTAAATTTAAATACATTCTAATCAATTCTAAATGAGTGGTAAACCACTTAATCTCAGATCTTTATAATTTCAAGATATTTATGTATAAAGTATGCTCTTTTGTTTGGGATTTGCCTCTTAGATCTCTTACACTTTTCATCATCTGCAGATTAATTTTTATATAGAGATATCTGTGACTGTGTGTGTGTTTATGTAAATACATCCATCACATTCTTGAGTGCAGGGCAAAGAAGATAAATTGTCCGCGCTAGATTGGAGGCGGGGAAAAAAAAAGTATGTGGTTCCTGGGAGACTATTCAGAATTCTTAAAGCATATTTGCTGAGAAGCACAAAATTACAGTGAAGTGTTTAATTGTGGCTTAAAGGACCTGGAGACCTAACTCTGTTTTCTACATTTCTTTTTGCAATTTAACCCTTCTTTAAAAAGCAAAAGTGGTTGGGTGGGGGTTTTTTTTGACACATACTTCTTGTTTCGCAAGAAAAGATTCAAGCCTTATAATGGCAAATGACACTACTTGCACTATATATGGACTGTTCTTTCGCTTTTTTTGAGTAATCATATGACTTTTTTTTTGTTAGATTTTTTTTTTTTTAATGTAGATGGCTATTCACATGGCCTACCTTCATGGATCAGTGCATCAGGTGCATCAGTGAGAGACCAACCTTTCTAGGCTCCCATTAGTGTTGATGGAGGTAGGGTGGGGAGGAAAACACTTCTTAAGAGGTGATTCTGAGCAGAAGGCCTATTTGTGATGCTCCTAGTTACACACATAAGGACTGACTCTATCCGTTACAAAAGTTTAAGGAAACTTTGGTGTTACACACCCAACTTGGAGGTGATGTGACTGTATTTTGGGTTTTTAAGATCAGATTATTTCTGTAGCTGTTGGTAAAAATAGCACTTCAGAAATATTGGTAGGACTTCAGAAAGATCAGTAGTAATAGTAAAGTAACATTACAGGGAAAAAATGGTGACGCACTATTATTCCATCTTACCTCCCCCCCACATCAAGGTATGATAATATCTTTGAAATGCTACTGCAGTACCAGTGTATACCAACCCATTTCAGTCGCTTCTTGTGAGAGACTGGTGACTGTTATCTGCAGTATTTAAGAACCCCTGAAATCCTGCTCATACAGACATGTTCATTTATGACAGTGAGCAATGCCAGATGCGCTGCAGAAGTGGAAGAATGCTAAGCAATTAGAGACCAGGCTGCTTACAGTGCTGTGGAAGTTTCTTGCTACTGCTTTCAGTTCACGTTTGGTATTTGTTTTGAAGCACAAGGCTTTTTACCTTTCCATCTTAATTTTGATTATAGAATTTGATGTGGTGCTGAATACTCTTGTGGTATGTAATTTATAGTATTTTTCATTTTGTTTTCTCAAAACTGACTACATACTTGGCATAAAGGATACTGTGCCTCACTGTCTAAAAAGCTGTGCTTCCCAAGTCATGCTCTGAAAAACAGTATTAATAAAAACTCTTTGTGAGGTAGAATAGGAATCCGAGTACGTAGAAAACTGAATGCTGAGATCAAGAAATTATTACTCTGGTATATTAATTTTTAATGGGCTGTCTTTCTAATAATGTTTCATCTATCAAATAAATGATAAGCGTATCCCAAGTGACTTGCAGGATATTCCCAGAAATGTACAAGCATAATTCCAATGCCTATATATTTTAATGAACTAATTACAAATTAATTATACCAATTATGCATAATCAATAGTATTTCTACTTTGTCGTGTGTTTTCTTTTGTGTGTCTTTAGGGATTTCAATGTTTAAAACGGAGCCACCTTCTTTTTTTAATAAGGTCCTCTTGGAAGGCCTGTACACATGTTCCTAAAACTTTGGGATACTGCTAGAGAAATAGAGTAGACTTACCCTCTTTGTTCTAACAGTACTGTATTTATGTAGGACACTGTCCAGCTTCCCATGATCACGATGTATTAAAAAAAAAAATCTTTTTTCCCCTTTGCTAATGTCCTTCTAATTAGGTGGTAGAAAATCTAATGTCTTTGACACTGTTGCTCTGCTAGTGAGGTCAATACTTGTTGAGAGGGGAGGTGGAAGCGGAGGCTGATCCTGTGTATTCTTGAAAAGATCGGTTTCACTGGATTTTTTTTCTCCCAGTGTGGTGGCTTATTTAAATAAGAAACATTGAAGAGGTCTTAAAATGAAATCTTCTGTGTATTTTTTTTATTGTCACCACTGTGTTGGGATCTTGTCAAAGCTCTTAGGCTAGGCATTGCCGTTTCTTGATAATGCTTAGATGAAAAGCCTGAAGGAGAGGCAGCAGCAGCCATGCTGATAGGCTCTGTGTGCAGCGTGCTTTCTTCAGCTGATAACGCATCATGCTCAGTACAGACCTGAGGAGCAGCATTGCATTGCTGATGATTCTATCCTGAACAGGGACCCTGCCCCCCTTTTGGCTGTTAAAAAGGTGTGCTGTTCGGTCTTCTGGCCAGCTTCTCTGTGAAGTAATATACTCTACCTCCCTTAATTTCCTTGTAATTTCACTTGGAGAAGTTGCTCTCTTTTTCACCTCTTAACTAACTTTTATGTAGTGTTGCTGGCACAGTTAGCGGCAAGTATGTTTTGATGGTGAATGAGGGACCCAGTACACTGTTTGTAGAGTGTTTTGGGATCATCTGTGATGCAAGGGGCTACGGTAACCGTATTTATTGTTCTTTGTCAATAGACGTGAAAGTATCTAGCTTAACAGTAATTTTTTGTCTAGCCTGAAGCTAAACCTCTTAGCCAGCAAGTCAAGAGCTAAGCCGTTGTTATTGAGACCAATCCTTTTTCTTAGAAATTAAAATGGAAGAGGGCATGGTATGTCATCAGGTTAAAATAGAGGAGAAATGCTGTACAAAAATGAGAGTGATCGCAGGCTGTTAGAGCACACGGAAAGAAAAATCACACAAGATGAAGACTTGTAGAGAAAAAGAAGAGATTACAACAGTATAAAAGGTACTTTGAGTGGCCCTGAAACACCTGATACATGCAGACCAACAGATTCTGTCAGTAATGTTTTACAGAAATATTGGAAAAACTACAGTTAGCTGAATTACAGATTTCTTGAGGCAGTATTGACCAGAAGGTAACTTGAATGGTCTGATGAGCTTTTATCAAATTAAAGAAAAAGCTGAATGGACTTTATGTGGAGTTTAATTTACTGTGCTTTGAAGTCAGAGTATTTTAAAGCAGCTGTTCTAAAGTGTGTGAATCTGGAGGCGCGAGGGTTGGAACAGTGAGGGTTGATGTTTTACGTAGCTCTTAGGCATGCCTGTGAGATGCTGTTTCTCTGTGCTTGAAAGGTAAGGACCGAGTGCCTGGCTGCTTTTGCACAGTACCCAGCTGCCCTATAGACCTGTCAGGCTGTAGGAGCTCACAGGCTCACTGGCTCCAAGTAGTTCATGCTGACATGGGTGTAAATATCTACCCATCCATGGAAGCA